TGGCAAAAATTGAGACTCAGTGCGCCATTCGTTTTCGTTATTTTCGTTTCCATCGGAAACGCGTGTTCAAATAAAAAATTTCGACTCGTATTTTACCACCGCTGGGCTCGCGGCAGGCCGGAGCTAATCGCCGGTTCGTCTTGTCACTGCCACGATCGAACGTATCGGATACCGACGTGTGTTTCACCAAAAAAAAAAAAAAGAAGAAAGAAAAACAAGAAAAAAAAAAATGCAAAATCACCGAGCGTACACGCACGGCTTGCGGTTTCACGCCGATACTTCGTCACACGCGGATGTTTTCGTTTCGCCGTTGGGGCGCGCCGTTCCCCGTCATTCGACGTATTTCGAAATGCGATTCGCCCGGAATTTCCGACGTCCCGATCGCGAACGCGCTTGAAACGCGTCACGACAGATACGCATAATTTCGTCATCGAACGAGATTCGACTATTTTTTCTTTTCTCGCCGGCCGACGACGCGGCGTATTAATATTTCCCGTCTCTCGTTCCTGGAACGCTTCGAGCGTTTCATCCGGGCCGAAAACGTGGCAATTTTTCGAGGACGCGTCGCGCGCACGCGAGTAAAAAGCATGAAATCGCGGGAGGAAAGAATGCAGAGAGCGAGTGAGAGAGAGAGAGAGAGAGAGAGAGAGAGAGAGAGAGAAAGACAGAGAGACAGACAGAAAGAGAAAAAGAGAGGGAAAGTAAAAAAGGAAGATAGACAGATAGATAGAGAGATAGAGGGAGAGAGGTTATAATGGATATGAACTTACTGTGTGCCGTCAGCTTGATTATGACGGAATCCGTGCCGAAGCTATTCGTGATCGTGCAGTTGTAATCCCCGAAGTACGTGGATATGGGATCGAGCAGCGTGACAGTGCTGACGACTCTCTCGGCGGTGTATTCCTCCTGCACGTAGAACGGCGTATTGTTCGACGAGAAATTGAGCTCGCGACCAGCGAAGCTCCATACCACCGAGTCCGCTTTTGGCACAGATATCGCGGTACACTTCACCTGCGAAATCGAGGAGGAATAGTCGAATAAAAATGGCCTCCGGTTGCTCGTCGTTCGCCCTCGCCATCCCTCACACCCCCGCCCACTCGCCGCGAAACCAGCGATATTCGCGTTATGTTCCCTCTCGCGTGTCCCGCTTTTTAAAAACCGCCGCGCCGCGCGTCGTACATTGACGAGCTAGAAATGAAGAATAGGAGAGGGAGAAAAAAGGTGAGTCCGAAACAAAAAAAAAAAAAAAAGCAAAAAAAAAAGGTCGACGAAAAATAGAGGAGAAGGAAATACGGTTAGCCGATGGTTGTATTCACCCGGTAGTGGTTGTTCATCAGCCCCTGGTTTAAATTCCCTGGGAAAATAGCCCCGTCGCTTTGCGTCGCTGTTCTAAGCCGTTTGTTACGTACAGGCCGTTCGATTTTCGTAGACACGGTGTCTAGCGACTAGCGGTTACGGTTCTCGCATATTTTCCATAAATGCCTCGTTTCGGCTTCTGGCGCACGAGTTACGGCTGATATAAATCGGGGCCAAACGTAGCGTTCGTCGGCTTTACGAGACGTCGAAAGCCAAACGAAAAATAACTGTTCTCGATCGACAGAAGCTTCGATGCTCCCTTTTTTCTTTTTTTTCTTTTTTTTTTTTTTCCTTTTTTACCATGTACGACGTAACGTATCGTTGACCTGGTAAGTATCCCGCCGCGCGTGAATCATTCGCGTCGAATATTCAGATTTATCGATTAAACGAACGACTCGCCGTTTAAATAACCTTTATGGAAATTTCAACGCGCGATACGTAATAATAGTTGAGATCAGAAGATCGTAGAAATTATTCTTCCATCGCTACGGAGAAAATTCGTGATTCTCACGTTGTGTCAAAATTGCAAACTGTTGTAAATGAGAAAATGTATTCGCAGACGGGCGAAGATTTACGCCGACGACCGTACGTAAGAACGGAGCGTACGTAAGAAGCGAAACGACGAATGCAAACGAGCGAATGTAAAAAGTAAGAGGACATGAATGGAAAAATTACCTTGACAACGCCCTCGTCGGGTACGTATTGCACTCTCTGCGACACGATGCTCGGCGGCGCCCGGATGTAGACATTCGCGTAGCCCGTCAGCTCCGGAAAACCGGGTACGTGTGCCTTGCAAAAGTACCGTCCGGCTGTCTCGTGGTTCACCACCACGCTGATATTCGGCGTGCTGGCGACCTGTCGCTCCGAGTCCTCGTGGTACCAGCGGATCTCCGGCGTTGGGTTTCCGTCGACGTCGCACTGCAAGATCTCCGTCGCGCCGTACTGCGTCTCCACGGAGACTGGCTGGTGCCGGAACTGCGGCCCGTCTGTGAAAATTTCATTTTCGCCTCGTTTCTTACACTCTTCCAGATTGACACGTCACGCAGCCAAGAGGAAGAAGGGGATAAAAAATATCTCTTTCTTTCACTCGCGGCTACTAACGAGTCCCGTGGTATACAGCGGACATCGCGTGACGCTTGGGAAATTAAAAATCGACGAGTCACGAGCAAAGGATCGAGAGCATTAATAATTGTCAGACGTAGAGGAAGCAGCATTGAAGTTTGACGGACTGCAACGAAAAATTAGAAAATCGTAGGGAGGGAAAGCCTGCGATCTATAACTCGTGACTTGTCCTCTTCTTCTTCTTCTTTTTTTTTTCTTTTCGAAAGGTGTGATGTTCACACGGTATTGCCACTCGTGAGAGAGATCGATCCATAAATCGGGAGTGAAGAACCATATTCTCCGAAAAAATATGCCGGTAAATTCTCTCTCAAAAAGTCCAATTTATCCTTGGCTTTGGCTTTTGACAAGCGTTATCCGGAATTTCGCTGATGCCCGCCGACCGGATCCCGGCTAAATAACACGACGAGACGACGTCAAAGTACCCTTCCAGATGAACGAATGGGATAAAGAGTGGCCGAGTCAGCGAATACTAAAAACGCAAGATTTCTTTCGTGGAAAAGCAACGTACGTCGAAACGTAATTTTTCGCGGTACGAACCTCACACACACACACACATACACATCGGTGATATGGTTTGAGAGAGACGATTGTCCTCGCTTCGTTCGCATACTCACACGTGATGTCCAGGGTCTCGGTATCCTCGCTTTTCCCAACGTCGTTATGAACCTCGCATTTCACGATCGCGTCGTGAAGATCGCGAGTCGCGTTGTGGATGATCATCTCCGTGGTGTAATCGCCGATCACCTTCTTCTCGTTGATGAACCACCTAAACGAGTAAAAAAGGATAGACGCCTTGATGAGCGTGTAATTGCTGCATAATTTGCACCGGCTGCCCCGGTAAAAAGCTGCCACTAGCGGCCGATCGACTCGTCGAGAAGAAAAAAAAAAAAAAAAAAAAAAAAAGAAATATTTTCACGCGTCGGAGGGAATTTTGCCGGGGGATAATCCGATCACGTACTTTGTATAAATGTTTNCAGCAAACAAAAAAAAAGAAAAAAAAAAAAAAAAAAAGAAAGAAAAAAGAAAGAAAGAAAAGTTCCGTGGATAATTATACATTTTTGAAAATTCCTCGCCGCTTCCTTCACTTCTTCTTCCCCATTCACCGTTTCGATTCGCTCTGCGATTTTCCTACATTCTTCCGACCGATCGTCTTTCGCTCGCGATACTCGAGCATCTCTCCCTTTCACGGTCATTTTTCAGACTCGATCGATACGATACGAGATTCTCAATTCTCGGACCACAAAGGACGAAGAAGAAGATAAGAAGATTTCCTCTCCGTCTTTCGTGAGATCATGGTTTAGGGCCGGTAGTTAGTTCGATTTCTCGCGCTCGGCGCGGTGAAACCGGCGAAAAGTAGAACGAGGATCGGCTCGGATGGCAATAAACGGACGGCGGGTCCTCTTTCAACCGGCCGAATCGCGTGCAGACATACGTTATCAAAGAACCGGGAGAAACTGAATGAAACGATCGCGAAACTTTCGCGGATCGTGTATCTTGCGAAGAGAGAGATTCCCGTTTCCTCGCTGCTTTCCCAGTAGGTCACGTTCCTAGCCTCATCCGAGTTCTACTCGTTAATAGCGCTCGAGCGTCTCGCCGCGTGACTCTTTACCTGGGGTTTTATTATTTTCGCGAAATTACACGTCGTAGAAACTTCCGTCGTAAACGTCCCGAACAGCTGTTCCGTGGTTCTACCGGGCTTTTACGGTTTCGATTTCACGCGAGCGAACTCTCGGTGAATCGGCGTCTCGCCGAGAGTTATGTGTATACCCTAAATTAAACCATCCAAACTCTGGCCGCGATGTTTTCGTTTCGTTTGCTCGACTAACGATACGTGCCGATATACAGCGAGTGCAAGTCGCGTTCACACCAGGGGCTTGATTCACTTTCTCGCCTTTCGTTTTTCGTCTCGCGACGCACGTTTTGTCTTTGAAGATTTATCGCCAAGAGAAACGGCCTGTGACTGACGCGCAAATTCATGCACAGCGCGTACATACACGAGCGCGTACAGAGGGATCGGAAAGCCATCGAAACGGGCAACAAGACAACGCGTAACGGAACGCATGACCGGCCGACATTGTCCTAAACTTTGCATTGTCCCCTGTTTGGGACGAACATCAATTATTTGCTTGCCACGTGTCACGGCCGATTGCTTGCTAATTCTTCCTTTGTTTGCGCGCGTGTCGATAAAGCCACGTTCCTCCCTCCTGTTCGCGTCTTTTTTGACCACCGTTGAAACCACGCGAATCAATAAATAAATAAAATTCTTTTCGATGAAAAATGTAGAACCTACGTAGAATTACGTGTAGAACCTACGTGTATTAGGAAATAGAAGAAAGCGCTACATTTTTGACGACGTTTTATATTTTATTCACGCAACGTGCAATTCTCCACTACGAAAATTTTCTATAAATAACGTGGTAACCCGAATTAAAATTGATCGAAAATTAGAGATAGTTTGTAATCAAATTTAGCGAGTTAAAATATCTGCCTGACTCGAGTAATCCCGTTTTAACCTACATATTTTTATCTCCGTTTTATATTCCCGGTATTAGACGACGCTCTGGTAAAGCGACGGCGGATTAAAAATGCACGGAAAGGCGGATTGAAGAAGTTACTCCTCGAATCGGAAGGAAGGAGAACGAACGGAACACCGACCGACACAAATGTCGCGGTTTTTGCAAATGTTCCGAAGGAGGGTAATCTTGATTTTCGATCGATCTTTGTCGCTTGTCGGCTTCTCGATTAATCACATGGGAAAGATCGCCGATCCTGATCGGTGTTCTGGTCCATGGAAAAATTTCCACCAGCTGTTTGACGTACTCTCGAACGATTGTTGAAGCTGATGTGCTCGGCGGTCGTTAGCGAATGACGAATACAATAGCCCCTATGATGCTATTACAACCCTGTTTCGTGTTCCATTTGCCGCTATTTGAGTTTATATTCTATTCGAAAACTATGACGCGAAACTGCACGAACAATTTGCGAACTACACGTTTCGCGTTTTCCATCGAAACTCGCCGAGTTCCGAGGTTCGCGATAGAGTGTTTGCTCTATCGAGCTACGAAACACAGCGGATAATTAAAGTCCCGTCAAGTGCGAGTGTCCAAACAGATGGAAAATCTATCTTGTCCTTCAATTGCTCCAAAGTCGGCCGCACTGTCATACACGCGTGACTTTTTTCGCGGAAGACGTGAAAAAATGATTTCTCAGGTCTCGAATTCGATGTTCATATTCTAATGCACACTTCTGGAAACTATACTTCTGTTGCTTCTAAGATATTATCTATTATTTTTAAAAAAATCTCGAAATTGACACTTTATCTACAGATGATGCCATTTAACGTCAAATTGAATACTGTTATCTGTTACGGATGATACCTCAATTGCGGTTAAGATTTTAGTATACGTAGAAGTGATAAAATATTTATTATTATAACTCTAAAATTTTTGAAATACGGCGGTAAAAAAGTAGTACATAAACTGGCGTGCAACATTTACGGAGGATGTAGAAACTAATAACGATATTGGCACTAATAGTGACGACGTCAACGAGGACCAATATTTTAGAAGAAAATAATTTTTTATACAAAATTAGCACGTATATCTTCCTCCCATCTTGGCGACAGGAAATCAACGTTATGACCACGTTCGATAAGACGTTCACTGAGATTTATGGGAGACCTGGTTATAAATTCGCCCAATTGCTTACGCGTGAGAGATGAGAAACATGTAAAAATGTAAAAATCTCGAATTTGACAAGCTAATTTTTATCACATCGATAATATATACCGTGTAGTTACTGATTATCCCACGTAATTGCGTAAATATCGTAGAGCAGCAAAAACACAGTGAAAGGCGAGATGAGAGAAACATGCGGCCGTCAAAGTCTTTAATACGCGAAGCGTGGCTGTTTGCGCGGATGAACGTAGACACTTGGAGTACGTACAGCACGATCTATCAAGGAAGGAACGTAGTATTCCGCGCTCGTCGTGTACCCATCGCCCTATCGTCGACGGACACGCAACCGTGGAAACCACCGACATCGACACCTGGCCACATGGCAGCAGCAACAACGCTCCAAATTCGACGAGCGCTCTCGTACACAGGGTATCGATCATCAGTGGGCTATCGTTTGCGCCTCTTGGCGGAGGAACACAGAGAGAACTACAGGAATACAGAGGCAGCCAGGCGGTCGCGTTACTCGCGCGTTTTCCACTCACCTGTACTCGACGTTCGGTGGATTTGCCTCGGCGCGACATTTGAAGCGGAGCTCGCTGCCCTCGACGATGCGGCCGTTCTTGCCCAGGCCCGACCGGATTCTCAGAGACACTTTCGGCGCGTAGCGTACCTGAAACACGAGATACGAAGCGCTCGAGCTGGTGGTACATCGCGTCCAACGAGTGCCTCGCTTGCGGGTGGGGCGGAGAGAAGAGGGCGAGGGATGCTCGAAACGTCACGCGAGCCGATGCTCAAATTTTCATGACCATCGTCGTCGCGCGATCGATCGGCTCTGGCTCGCTCGCGTGACGTTCTCTCTCTCTCTGTCTCTCTCTCTCTCGAATTTCACTTTATTCTCCCTCGTCGGACGTAATTTCTCGACAATTAATATCGCGCGGTGACAAGTCGCTAAGTAAATGATGCGCACGGCAACGACCAGCAACGTTTGCAGTTTGGTAGCTTCGTGTGCTCACGCGCAGCCCGCGGCAAACACGGATGGAAGAATTACGAGCCACCGTCATTGTGAGTCATTAACGGACTCCGCGCGGAAAGTAGCGAAACGGTATTCCCGTTTCGTCCCCACGAATCCTGGCCGTACCGAAGAAACTGAAACCGTACAGCTGCCATTGTCAGCGGGGGAAAGAAAGCGCAAAAGTACGCGACATTAATCACGTTTCGCCGCTCTCCTGTTAATCTTTCGTTCTTCACTGTTCGAAAAATCCGTGAAAACACTGACGCGTTTCAAGCACCGACGGGCTGATGGCACAGTTCATCTTCGCGTTTTCACTTACCTCGACGCGCAGTTTCGCATTCTGCGGCGTGCGGTCGGCCGCGTTCTGACTTTGGCACGTAAACGTCGTGTTGTCGTGGTCCTTCCGCGGCATCACCCTCAGGATGGACTTCACCGTGTACAACGGACCGTCGTCGAACAGTTCTTTCGTCGTCTTGATGCCCCTGTGCAGCACGTTCCCCAGCCCGTCGATCCACGTGATCTGCAATCGAACGACGATTAATTCGACTCGGCACGATATTACTCGGCCAGCGACCGGGCGGCCAGCTCGTTTTGGTTTAACGAAATTCCAGTCGAGTGTCGCGCGGCAGACGCAACGGGGATTGAATAATGGGTCACCTATTAATCTGCTATTAAGATTGGCAATCTGACCCGATTAATTGTTTAGAAGGACAGCCGTGCTGTTACGTGCTTTGCTGAAGCGAGATGTTGAAACCTGCCTGCAACTCTCAACCCGTGTGTTCCCTGGTTTTTTTTTCCGCGAGAGAATTTCGTCTTGCGAAGTGCATTTTTCAGGAAATGAGATACAACGCAACTTGCAACGCATAATCGGCATATATACTCGTATGTACATGAGGAACTTGGCGAGCTTCATTCATATCTGAAACGCTACCTAACCATTCATACGTTAATGCGTTTTACAGTTTTACCGTGATTATTTCGCGCATTTATTTCCTACTTAATTACAACCTGATGAAAAATCGAAGAACTCTGTTAGCAGCGTTGGTGCGCGCGATCGAACAAAAAGGTGAAAAAAAAGAAAAAAGAAAAATACGAGATCTGGATTTCGTCGTTGCGTCTCAAGTGCGTTTCTTTCATTTGCGTTTATTGCATCGCGCGGATGCAGAACGGACAATGAAACGGAACGCTCGCGTGTGAAAAATTCGCGGCAAAAGAAATTTAATTTCGTAGAAATTTCAACGGAACTACACGCGCCTGATTAAACGGGGAGCACTCGCGGCAATTTGTAACGAGATTTATCAATTGCGCACAAACGCGCGCTCCTGTCGCACGAGTATTCGCAATTAACTTCCTTGAAACCAAATTGGAAAAACGAATTTTACTCGAACCTTGTCCCTTCACAGAGAATCGCATTCACAGCCCCCAAATTGTGGCGTTCCACGACTCAATGTGGCACACCGTGTACATATGTGCATACACGGCTCTAGTATTTCAATCGCAACAGTGCCCTACCGAAAAATGATAGTCCGTTGTTTTAAACTGCCACAAACTGCCACCTCATTCCTCTTCCCTAACGAATGCCAGTTACCACCTACTTTATCGCGCTCTCTCGATCATTAATTTAAAGCAGCTGGCTCGTTCCAGCGCGGAACAGCGATCCGTCGGATTTTCCAAGTGGAGCTTATCGACCGAGCAGAGGAAGAATGCGTCAGAAGTCGGGTGTAGGAGGGGGAGGGGGTGGGGGTGGGGGTGGAGGGAAGGGGAGCGAGAAAGGCGAAGCGGGACGGCCGCATATCGGAAGTTATTTCATTATAACGGAGTCCGTTATATATTTTATTCGATAATTCGGCTACGATCGATCCTCGTGATCGGGTTCCTAACGGGGCAGCAAGTAGCTCGGATCCACCCAGCTTCCAAGTAGCTTCCGGCGACCGCGCGAGCTTCATCCGCGGCTCTTCTCGCTTTCCAAACTTTCGAATTTTCCTCGGAATTAATTCAGCCTGCAGGTGACTCCGATTGAAAACCTCCCCATCGTCTCTGGCCGATCCGCCGGCCCATGTCTATGTATGCACACCACCGTGTCACCACCCTCCTCCGCCACCCCTTTTCTTTCGCTTTCTCTTTCTTTTTTGTCTCCTCCACAGTTGACTGGGTTTTTATTTTTTCTTTTTTGGAGGAGGGCCTGCTCACTCCTCGAACGATGTCGCCAAGACGATTATACATCGTCTCTCTGACAGTAGCGACCGAGAAAGCGTTCAACTTCGCAGCGACAATTTTGCCGCGCGATGGAAATCGATCTAATCGGTTTTAATTAGAAATCTCGTGCCGCCGGGGCAACCTGGCCCGACACCGATACCGAACGTTTCCGATCAGAAACGCTACTCCGCAGTTTCGCGTAATCGACGCTAATCTGGGATTTCGTGGCTGGATTTCTACCTTCTAGCTAGTGTTCTTGGCGTTGTATCTATATCGAGTAGGAGGTTGCTACGTGCTGAACAGGTGAGCGTCGAAATTTCTGTCTTTCCGGTGTTTTCAAATCGAAGATCGACGCGGGATTGAGGGGACAATTGATCAGATTCTGCGTGCTTTTGTTTAAAACAAATTTTTATTCTCGGGGATATGATCGAGGAAGAGATTTACTAGCATCTGCTATATGAATATTTTTTTACGCTTTAAAAATGCACGAAGATCCGCAGTCTAGTTAGAGGCGAGCATTTTTTGTTCGAAAACTATCGAACGATGAAAGAGAGAGAGAAAGAAAGATAAACGTTTCTCATATAGAAAATATAAATTGATTCTGCTCCGAAAGGCTCGAAGTAATCTCTTGTTTTATTCAAAGGATCCAATTGACCTTTATTGCGATAGATCATATCCCGGAATTGGTAATTTCTATTCGCCAGCACGCAGGAATGCCAGCGTTCCACGTCGTCGTAAAAGAATGTAATGCACCTTTTCTTCCCAATCTGCCTAAAGTATAACGTGCTTGGCGATAAGTAGAGTTACAGAAGAAAAGAAAAAAA